TCACAGGCTCTAATTCTGCGAATGGTAGCCCTAGAACCTACCGAACGTCCCACATTCGACACATTACTGCACGAATATCGCGAGAACGTATTCCCCGAACACTTTTACTCCTTCCTGCACGATTATATCGGATCCATGAACGAGCTTTCCACAGCCATCATCTTCAACAAGCCGTCGCCCCTTCCTGTCAGCGCTGCGTCTGAGATGTCGGGTATGGCGGAAACGACGTCTCTCCCCAGCGACTCAGACCACCGGATCGAGAAAATTTGGACTGAATATGAGACTATTGAACCTCATTTTACGGAGCAGGGAGATAATGCGGAGTTGGACGGCAGTAGGGCGACGTTGAAGGCTCCCGTTCGGAGACGATTGGCTGATATATTCTCTGTGGAGCTTTATATTCCTGAGTTACAATCTAAACTTGAGGGATCTTGGATGGCGGGGCAGCAAGCTGCTCTTGAAGGTATGAAAAATTATCAATTACCTTAAGGACATACTTTAAATTATATCACTCTCAGATGGCATTGTATTGATTATTCTCTCCTTGGTCTGCGCGAATATTCGTAATTGTACCTTCCCCTAGCTCTAAAGTTCGGGCTCTGGACGTCTTACTCGCTCTTTCCACGCATTTAATTGATGAGGCGAAATTGGATCGCCTTGTCCCATAGGTGATGGATCTCATTCACGACGAAGCAGCCATCGTACGAGCCGCCGCTTTACGGACTTTAGTCCAAGTGGTGAGTATTTCTTTAACTCCTTATCGTGCGTTATTTATTGTTAATGGTACGCGACAGCTCATGCTCGTCAAAGCCATCACACCGGCGACCGCCTCGATTTTCCCAGAGTACATTTTTCCCATTATTCGGTATCTATATAAAGCTCCAGACGTATCCGTGCGATTTGTTCTCGCACAATGTTTTGCTTACTTGGCGGATACGAGCCAGCGTTATCTCGAGATGGGGCAAGCGCTCAAGGCTCATGGGACGTTCAAAGTTTCTACTACGGACGACTATGAAGAACCGTTCAATGAGGTAAAAAAAAATTGCAATTTCTGAAGCTTTTATTCATATCGAGGATATTTTAGATATCATACGACGCGTGTCTCCAAGAATTACAGTCTGCGGTCCAGGACATCTTAGTCTCATTATTGGTCGATAACTCCAGCGTCGTCAAGCGAGCGATCCTGCATAATGTCTCACCTCTATGCATCTTCCTAGGGAGACAAAAGACGAACGACGTGTTACTCGGCCACATGATCACTTACCTTAATGACCGCGATTGGCTATTGCGGCATGCGTTCTTCGAGAGCATTGTCGATGTGGCTGCTTGCGTTGGGTCGCGCAGCTTGGATGAGTATATATTCCCTTTGATGGTGCAGGCCCTTTCTGGTAAGGATTTTGACTTGAACGATATTTAGAGAATTTATTAATTTCTGTTTTGTTTGCTTTAGATGAAGAAGAAACGGTTGTCGCGAGAGTCTTGGCTTCTTTGACGAGTTTGTCCTTGGCATGTTTCAGAGAATACGACTTTGGGATTTGGTGAGTTATACACTTGGGTTTGTGTTTCATTCTAATGTCTGGATTAGACAAGGTGCGTGACAGGAATTTTATATGTAACGATCTTTTCTCATCCTCATATCTCTTTCAATGTGCTGCTGCATTTATGGCCTCAGCAACGAGGCACCTTCCTCCAACCGACACGTGGTGTATTTTATATCCCTCTTTAAAATTTAATTTACGTTCAGATGTCAAGGTTGTCAATGAAAATAGCCTGTTGACCACTCTGAAGCCTCCAGTAAGCCCATAATTAGTTACATTACTACAGTGGCTTATGTTTTTCTTTCTTCCTTTCTGTAGTTGCCTAGACCAATACTCGAAGCTGCTATAACATGGGCAATGAAAACCGAGAAGACGAGTATCTGGAAGAACCCTAGTTCTAAAAATAGGATCGTTTCCAAGCCTGATACTCCGAAGGAAGCGAATACCGCTACAAGGAAGCAGGGCTCTCGTTCGACACATCCACCCACGGATGAGTATGTGTCAATGCAAAGATTATTTTTTTTACTCACTGGTGTTTGAATAGGGACGAATCGTACCTGGTAAAGCTCCGAGGACTCGGCATGACATCTCAAGACGAGAATAGCTATTTTCAATGAAGGAGCATATTGCGAAACTCGCACGGACCATTGCAAGGTATGAAAATCAAACGCAAGAGCCCTACGATTTGTACTCATTAATTTTCAGCTCAAATGTACGCGCCAAGGAAACGGAACCCGAAGCGCTCGCGCAGACAACAAGTGGAGTGGAACTGCAAAAGCTAGGTGTCGTCCCCCAGACTGTCTTCGTTGGTGGTTCACGCGCCTCAGAGTCTTCCCGCCCAAGTTCTAGGCGAACCGTCAGCGATGCGTATAGCCGTCACTCGATTTCGACGCTGTATGGAAACCCGCGGACAGCGCGTTCGGGGAGTATCGACCACGTCAATGTCAACGAAGATCTCCGAAGACGATTGGCCAGTCTGAATGGCTCGTCCTCGTCCCTCACTTATCTTGGTGATCGAGAACGGCACGGATCAGTGACGTCGTCGAATCGTCCGAGTGCTATAACGTCGCCGATCCATGAAGCACCTTTGACGCCAATCAGCAGTGATAATCGCCCGCCTAGTCCGACTGAATCTGTTGTTTCGAGTACTGTTGATGGACCTGCTAATTTGCGTCTTCGAATACATATTGGGAGTACGGACAATCAGAAGGTTGCGCCTACGGTTGGGTCTGTTAAAACTAATGTTAGTGGTCTGCTTGAGGCGCCGCAGATTCCACGGCTGGACGAGGAATCGTTGAGATCAGGCCGGTCGTCGCCGGTTTCGAATGCAGGGACAATACGAGCAGAACACCGGTCATTGCATTCGGCGCGGCCTTATTCGTTGAACTTTGGTAAGTCAGTCTCTATTTTCCTTTGCAGTATTTTTAAACCCCTTTTAAGAAATACGAGATCCTGGCATCCATGATCTTTTGGAACAATTGTATCATGAGAACTCACGAGAGGCCATGCACGATTTCGGTCCCAAGGTGCACGAAGGTGCGATTCGAAGGCGGAATGCTCCAAGACAAAGCGTCTTTTCCATGCACAACACAAGTCGCTGCGCCGAGGCCTCTCTCATTGCCAACCTCACCTCGCATACGGGGCCTATCAACGGAGTCGCAGTGGCACCCGATCACATGTTTTTTTTGACGTGTTCTGACGACAAAACGGTAAAAGTCTGGGACACCGCTCGCCCCGAAAGGAATGTTACGAGTAAGCCAAGACAGACGTATACCCAACATCATGCACAAGTTACTGCGGTTTGTATGCCGGAAGGGTTTCACTGTTTTGCTAGTGCAGGCGATGATGGCAGTTTGCATATTGTGCGAGTTCATATCACTCAAGGGAGCTCTATGCCTAAATATAGCAAATTGCAAATAGTCAGGGAACACCGGGTCGAACAAACCGATGAATACATAACGGCTCTGACGCATTATAATACTGGTGAGTAGATTTTGTAGTTCTATCCAGACATTATGCTGATCTTCTACCGTAGAAACTCTTCAAATTTAATTTACACCACGACCCAGGTTAGGATTGTTGTTTTGGATTTACGAACTATGCGAATTCTGCAGGTATTGCAAAATCCTTCCCATCATGTTGCGCATCTCGACCGCCCGATGAAAATCAACCAGTGCGTTATACATCCTACCAAGGGATGAGGTCGTTGGGCCATACTCGCTTTGGAAGCCTTGCCATCGCCTGGAGAAGCCACACGAGGGACGGTTTTACTGGAAGTTTGGGATATCGAGTCAAGTACTCTTGTCAAAACATTTGAGACAAAAGATTCATCTGACAACGTTCCTTCCCAACAACCGGAAGTGCCGCTGGCTGAAACCTCCGCTACTATTGGGCAAGACACTCAGAAAGATCCTGCAGCAGCAATTCAAGCATTACTGCGTCTTGCGAATCAGCCATCTGCGATAGAGAGTCCGAATCCTGTTCCAAAATTGGCGGATGTCTGCGCTATTGTTGTGGGGGCAGATTTTGCTGGATTATCCGGTATGCCGAGGCAAGATTTTGGAATAGGTGGAGAAGAGAGGGCTACGCCGCCAGGAGGGGATGGATTTATTATTACAGGGTCTGAAGACAGAAGGATCCGACTCTGGCATCTGACCCACATAGAATGCTCAGTGATTCTAAGCAGGTAAGATGTTGAATCAGACAAAATGACCTTTGCACAGAAAGCACCAAGGGATTTTCTGCTGAGAAAAATGTTAAGAAAATCTTAGAAGTCAGCCTCATTTCTTCAGTGTTTTCCCAAACATTGAAGGAAAACCAAAAGAAAACCAACATTTATTAAAGTTTTAACACAATTCATGGGAAAATACTGAAGAAAGGGAGTGCACTTTTAAGGGTTTCCCAGTGTTTTCTCTAGGAAAACCCCTCAATGCCTCCAGTGTTGCATAAGTTCTCATTTTCCACTCATATATTGTGTAAATATTGATTAATGATTTATCCAGCATGGTTAAGAGTGGTGATAATGAGCCCATAGCATACATGGAGACATTAAACAATCAGGATGGATTTTAGTCAAACCAGAATCAGCAGGCAGTGTCCTGGATGAATACTGTCTCATCATCAACAGAGTCTTTTGTGGGCACATCAAGATTGTATCACTGTGCTTGCATGTTTAGATTCTCCCTTCAGAGGCTTGATTATTAGTGGAGATTGCACAGGACTTGTTAAGGTCTGGAGAGTGGAGGAAGCTCAATGAACAGTTACCCCTTTTAGAAATGATACCATGTAAGTGTATTAATGGACAGTCTGCATATTAGACTTATTTGTTTCATATATAATTGATTGTGAAATTTAGGGTAAGTGGTGACTGTTTGCTGTGTTACCCCAGTCGAGATAGCTGATTCTTGACAGTACACTTGCATTGTGTTACTTGAAGGAGTAGAGAAATAAAAAATAAAAAGATGATCTGGGCTGGACTTGAACAGATGACCTTCTGCGCGTTATTGTTAAGCAGACTTTTCACCAACTGAACTATCAAACCTGCTCAAATATTAAGATGGGCTCCTTGATCTGGAATGCATATTTCCCTGGAATCATCATACATCATATTAGGAAGTGTGGAAGAAAACAAGAAATGTGAATTGCACTCACGTAAGGGGAGCTCGGTACTAAGGATTGGGTTGAGGCTCTTTTGGGGAATAATTATAACTGCTGTTAAATATATGTACTTGAATAATAATAAAATACACCTCAAGGACCAAACAATGACATGACTGTCACTATATAACTCACCTCTAATTGGAATCTTCTCTCCGTGTCAAGCTCTCTGAAGTATCCTGGAACTCTGTCTATCACCCAACTTATAGGGTATTTACCATGTCTTTTAGTGTGCATAGATATGTTCTGATGCTGTAGCTCATCCACAGGGCTGTCTAACATTTGTGGGTGATTTTCACAGCATTGCTGATAGATCACAGACAATCTAGCAATTAAACCACTGACAATGGCTGTCATTCATGCAACTATGGTTGGCCACTGTCAAAACCACATGCCAGGTTAAGATATAGTGTCTCAGGCTGCTGGAATAGGGGAGGAAGAATGCCAAAGTTGGAAGTTGAAGTTTGGTGAGATAAATCAACAAAGGAAAATGTTGAAGTCAAAGTTGTCAGAGTAAGACTTGGCTTCAACGTAATCAGTTGCACCCTTGCAAAATCCACTTGTCCTATTTGCAGAGAGGAGAATCATGAGAAGAATGATGAAGAGAAATGACAAGAGGTTTGACAAGGTTTTGACTTAGGTCAATTGAGGGTCCAAGAGCAGACTCCTTCCCAGTTTCACCCCACAGCCTTTGACAGGCTCGCACTTCTGTCTATCCCCAGGCACAAGCTTAGTCATGCTACCAAATTAAGGCAAAGCAATTTAAACTCCGAAAACTTACTTGCCCGTAAGGCTGTGGGGCAACTGGCACAACCCAGTAGCCGAGTGTGCCTTGTTTGGTCCAAGGGACGTGTCAAGTTTGCATCTTCAACAATCAGCCAAGATGTATCCTGCCATACCCTGTCATGCCTTCTGTGACTTCGAGTTCTATTCCCACATTCTCTCCAGCATGGCCATCTTGAAGTGTTCAACCTGACTAATTGTTGCATTTGCGGCATTGAAACAGAGTCCTGCATTGGGATTTGTCAAAGCACAGACTTCAGATGTGTAGGTTGATTTTGCAATATTGCATGCCCATGACTAAAGACCTTGTGTTGCAAAATAATGATCTTCAGGGATATTAAGTGGCCTCAGTTTGATGAGAATATGCGTGAATATTCAACCAGGTAGTGGTTAGGTCTAGGTAAACATGTAGGGAACTACAAAAAACCTTTGTGGCTATACAGTTCTTCAACTCGGCTTTCTCCGAGATCACCAATCTCTGACACCTTGCTGAGTTGTAGGAAGTGTCACAAATGCATCGAAGATGTTGATCATTTGCTAGCAGAGTGTTTGACAATGTAGAGCACACTGAGGATCATTAGAGATAAGAATGTATAGTATAAAGTCATGTATGGACATGGATTGCTGCTCCAATGCATGAAGAAGGGCCATAGCTTGTTCAGCACAAGTAGGCATATGTAGGTGTGGCTAATGAATGTGTCCCTTGGACCAAACAAGGCACACTTGGCTACCAGGTTTGTGCCAGTCGCCCTGCAGCCTTATGGGCGAGTAAGGTTTCGGAGTTTAAATTGCTTTGCCTTAATTTGGTAGCATGACTAAGTTTGTGCCTGGGGGTAGACAGAAGTGTGAGCCTGTCAAAGGCTGTGGGGTGAAACTGGGAAGGAGTCTGGTCCAAGAGGTGAGCATAGCAGTCAAGAAGGGAAGTTGGAGGACAAGGTAGCTTTGCCACTTGTAAGTGTGAAGGTAATCTCAAAGTCAACATGAAGTGAAACAGAGATAAGTTCAGGCAGAGTCAAGAGTCTGGAGACCTGGAGAGATAGAGAAACTCTAGGAGACTCAATATCAGAACTAGAGAACTATGTACAATATCCTTCTACTTACAGTGGCTCAAAAAACTGTCCATGTTTTGGAAAGCTGCTTGTATAGCTGAGAACTGGATGATAATCAGAACATGGTATTAGTATATAAAATCAAGCCCAGTGTATTGGCTATGCATATTTGACTGTTTTTGGAACAAAAAGCGGCCCAAGGATAGGAATTCAGAAGGAAGATTCTATGTCTTTTTAGTATAGAATATGTTGTAGGAATGCTAAGATACAAACTTTTGCTTTCCCATTATGTCCAATGACTCCACGGTGGAGGATCTTGACATACTCAAACAGGTACACTGCAAACTCCATCTGTGCTTTTGTCCCCTGACATCCAGCTTTTTGCAAACTTTCCATTAGTGTATCCACTCTAGCATGAGTCCAATTGACATTAGGATCCATAAGCCATGCATTCAAATCACTTTTATCTCCTAGTTTCTTCTTTTGCTTGCTTGAGCTCAGGGATATGCTGATGAATATAGTGTAGTGCATTTTGACTATCCACAGCCTATAAGTGTTGTATAATCCTAATAAAAGTACATGTACTTATCATTTAAGGTGTTCTTAGGAGCTGAGTCTAACAAGAATATGGGGCTACATTGCAAACTCAAGTGGATAATGAAAATTTCCGCCAAGCTGGGTGCAGCAACTGGCTCCAGTGATTTATCACAATTATATATATGAAGCTGCAAGATTTATGAACAAAATTTTTAGCTCTGTAAAATTCAATAATTCAGCTTTATAAGCTATCAACCTGAAGATGAAATGGTGACAGACCTACAGAATAACCAGTTTTGTGATTTATCTACCATTCTCATCACAGGTGTCCTATACTTAGCCTCAGAGTTCATTCCATTCCAAACATGCTGGGAAAATATATACAGTCTGAATCTGCTGGGTCATAATAGATGACAGTATCTAGATTATACAGTGGTTTAATTTGTGGTGCAAGACTTGCAACTGCCCTGAAAAGTAACATGAGTAGTAGAAGTAGTAGTACAAATTAAATCAAAAATATCACATATAATGTACCCAATTCAGATGCACAGGTATAGCATCTACATTCTTCACTGCTGAGCTGGGTGCTCAGGTTCTATAAAGCACATCAAAATCCAATGAAGTGGCTCCAGAGATAATGATGTAAACACACTCACTTTATAAATGGAGATACTCAGTTCCTTAAATGTGAGAGGATACTAATAATGAAAATATTTTGTGTTAAATCCGGTGTTGTATCCTGGGAGAAGTCTGTATTTAAGTTTCAATACCATAGAGTTACTAGAGTACCAAGTAAGACATACAGAACATTAACTAATTCAGAGTAATGCAGCTAAAGCTCCCAGAAAAAGTACCTAGTTAGCTTGCCAAACTGTGATGTAGTAGAATTGTATTCTTCTTCTTTTGGCTTGCTTCAGAAACATGAGTTACAAGTGCCATATACTAATAATCAGGGTAGGTACTTATCTGCAAAGACATGGAGCATGGTTTGAATTGTAGGCCAGTTTGAATTTCGAGTAGTGGTGTAGAAAGGACATTGTAAGGAATAAGGGTGAGATGATGATGTGGAATGTGTGGCAAATTTGAAGTATCCTATTTGATGATTATGTATCCATACCCTTCAAAGTGGGTTCACAAAATAATTCACCTATATAACACTGGATTATGTTGGATCATGCTTAGATTCGGCTCTGTAAAGCTCAATATCATAGATGCAAGCTGACACAAGTCATCAGAGTTCCCTTTGGGTAACAAATTCCCTTGAAGGTGCTTCCTTCCTATCTGGTGATTCTGGTTGACCAGTTCCATTGTGTTCACAATCTTACTTCATTTTATATCTCATTCTATGTTAGTTTATTAGTTTAATTTATCTACTGTATTTTGAGGTTGAATCACTACTGTGCAACCCAATCTGGGTGACTAATTCAGAAACTGGCCTAGAATGCTGACCACCTGTCCATTACTTTCTATTGTAAGTTGAAGCTGGTTTAGATGACTAATTTCAAGTGTTAAAGTGTTCCTTTAAGGTCGTGCTTGCCTGGTACGAGCTTTGTGGACCAGTTCGAAAGCTGTTCAAACTGGTCGACCAGATCTGCGTCCGCGCAGCCAGTTCTGATCCCGAGGCGTGGGAACTCTGGCGTTGACCAGTCTACTGCCGTCGGCAGCGCTAATGTACGTGAAATCACCTGATTGACGGAGTCCACCTTACGTAACCGGAACGGCTTGTAAGCAGCCTGCTACTACAACAGCCAACTTGACTCTATAATCAACTTCTGGTCTTCTCTCTCTATTGTATCCATGCGGTGGCTTGCGGATGAGTGTGCACAGAGCATCAAGGCGCTCAGTTCATATGTGAGTCCCAGTATCTATCTTTTGCATGCAGACTTGCAATCCGGACACCGACAGCCCAGAGTCGTCTACAAAAAACCTTTGCATCTTCTTGGTCGTGGGGATAGCGCGGTGGATATCTCGTCATCCGCGACACCTGAACGATACAGACTAGTGGATTGCAAAGTCCTCGTCGAAGAGAAGGTCCTCCAAATCTGCGAATACAGGACATTTCCAGAGGCTATGTACTGCTCCATATCCTACGTCTGGCGCAACGTGAAGAATAGCAGTAGCTTTGTTGAACAGAACCGCGGTATGGACTTCGACGTCAAAGGCGCTGAGGGGGCTGATCCAATCAATACCGACGTTCTGCATCATGCATGCATGGCTTCCCTCCGACGAGGCTGCACACACCTTTGGCTGGACCGGTTATGCATCATGCAGACCTGCAAGCAAGACAAACAGTGGCAGATCAGGGAGATGTACCACATGTATCAAGCCTGCAGCCTTTGTGTTGTCCTTGCAGGGGGACTACAGTGCATGATGTCCCTTGAATGCGAAACGTCATGGATCCACCGAGGTTGGACCCTACAAGAGGCGCTAGCTCCATCAATAGTCGAAGTCCTCTTTGCTTGGAAACTTCGGTCAGGCGCAGCCAAGGCAGGAACAGACAATTCTGGCCGCATAG